TTTATTTATTTATTTATTTATTATTATTTGCTATTTATTTATTATTTATTTATGCAGTGTTTTCTGTTTTCAGTAGCATACCAGTTTCACGTACCTTTTGTTGACACCTATGCATTTCTCTGTTGCTGTTGTTTTGAGTGATGGTGAATGGTGTTATATTTTCCATTTCCATGTCCCCATGCTCAATGTTTATATATAGAAATATAATTGACTTTTACATGTTTGTCTTGTACCTGTGACCTTGATGAATTGATTTATTAATTCTTGGAAGATTTTATGGGTTCCTTGAGATTTCCTCTCTAAAGAAACATGCTGTCTACAAATCTAGACAGTTTTATTTCTTCCTTTCTTGATCTGGATGACTGGTATTTCCATTAAAACCTAGAAATTTTGGCTTTGACTCCACACTGCCTCGTGGCTGCCAGGTGAATATGGAAGTTTGGGTTCCATATTCATGACACCCGGGGGCACAGGGGTTCCTCATTGCTGCTGGACAATGACGGAGTTACAGTCTTCACTGATGTACACTTGGCTGAAGGCAGTAGAGTGGCCAACTCTCCATCTGGCCTCCTCTCATATCACCCCCAAGCAGAGGGTGGGGAGACCACCTATGGTTCCATTTAATCCCCACCAATGCTACAGGGGTGTGTCAGGGAGGACGATGGACTATAAAAGGCCCTGTTCTTTGCTAGTCCTTCTCCAGTACCACATAGCAAGGGGCAAAAGCCCAGTGATCCTGGCCCTCTCCACCCACTCTTGGCTGCTGTGGGTGTGGATAGGGCCACGGAGTCCCCTAGAATACTCAGCTGAAGCAGTGCAGTTCTGTTGAAGTTTTCTGTCTTGCTAGATGGCCTCTTCCCTGACCTCAGGCTAATGAGAGCAGGCCTCGGTGGAAGCATTGCTTACGGATTTTGCTTTGTTGCTTCTGCAACTATTAGCATCTCTTGGGCACCAACTTGTGGGTCCAAGCCTGGGCTATAAGAGGCAGATGCAAAACCCAAGAAATGCCTCTGCACATTGATCCTTGGGTACCCAAGCTTTGCTTCCATCATCATGATTTGGGATTCAAGAATTTCTTTGTTTTCTTTAAAGGTGATGTCCCTGCATTGGACCTCTAAAACTTTTATAGATTCTAATGCATCCTGCCTCTTTCTAGATTTTTTTTGTTATGCTCTGCGCCAATGTGTTTTACCAAAGCCTCCAGGAATTCCCCAGGAAGGGCAATGACATTTACAGCTCTGTGAAGTCGAAGCAGACCCTGCAGGTGCCAACAGCTACAGGCTGGGACCATTCTCCCAAAACTGGGTCGAGCTTTTCCTTGAAAGGGCAACGGGGTGAGCCAGTGCCAGGTCTGTGTGTCCTGCACATGTATCCCGTTTATCCTCAGGACAACACCTCACAACAAGCTTTTTCCCACTAAAGAGGTGGGAAAAATAAGCCTTTAGAAGTTAAATACATTTTTCTACTGTTCTATAGCTTAGGAGTAGAGTTCACACACTGAGAGCAACACCCACTTTGTAAACCACCAGGACAGTCTGGTTCATGCAAATATTGGCTAAATGGAACAGTGCTATTTAATTATTATCATAGTAAATAATTAGACTTTCTAATACTGAAATGTAACTAGCTATTCAAGCATGTAGAGCTGATTTTGCTCTTAGACAAGACATTGAAGTATAAAAAAAGTAGGTCCTAGGTAACTGGAGAATAATACTAGCCTAGGAAGCTTGCTGATACCAGCTGTGGTAAGAATAGATGCATACCTGGTTTCTTGCACCTCCAAAGCAAATGCATTGTCTCCCTGTGTCCTCTGCTCTGGCTCTGTCTCCATCATCCACACAGGTACGTGCAGGTTGGACTTCCTTGGACAAATAAGCAAGAAAGCACCTGAACCTTTGTAAGCATCCACCTAGGCTTGCAACCCCAGGATTCACAGAGCTTTTGGCTTCTGCTGTGCCTCTTCCAACACCCTTCTGCCAGTGGGTCTTTTGGCACATGGGGGAGGGTGCCAGCTGAGTCACTTGCATACCGTCTTTAAAAGCAAGCTCTGGGCAAGGATCCAGCACCCAGCAAACCTCCAGACAGGGTGCGTTGTCTCCAGTGGTGGGAGCCCAGCCATCTCTTTGCTCCTCCCACACACTCCTTCCTCCTCCTTCTACTCCTTGGCCTCTGGCCCAAGCTGGCCTACTCCTCCTCTGTCTCACACACAGCAGGGATTCAGAAGCTCAGGCATTTTTTTCCCATAAAGGAAACAGTCCCCTCCCGTCTGACGCCTCCCTGGGTCGATAAGATTCAGACTCAGCCAGGCCTGGAGTCAGCCTAAGAGAGAGGGCTGCATCTCTCAGCAAAGCCTTCAGTATATGACCAGGCTCAGCCTACCTCCCTTTGCAGAGGTGACAGGCAGGCTATCTCAGTGGAACTGGCTTGCTGTCTGGGCCCTGATCTGGGTGTCCAGACTGCTTTTGTTAGCAACAGCAGCGCCCACAGCTGCTTAAATTTACTGAGACACCCTGTTTGCCAGGTACTAGGCATACACTCTAAGCATCACTTCATCTAAATCTCCATGAAAACTCTCTACCGTTGGTACTACCAAACCTCCACTTTATAGATAGGGCCAAGTTAACAACATCAGATGCTTAAATGATATGCCAGGCACTGAGCTAAGCCCTCCATATCCTGGGGATCCACATCTGTGGCTTTAGCTATCTGAGGATTAGAAATATTAGGGGGAAATTGCATCTGCACAGAACATGCACAGAGTTTTTCTTGTTATTCCCTAAACAATATACTATAACAACTATATACACAATGTTTATAATGTATCAGGTATTATAAGTACCTAGAGAGGACTTAAAGTATATAGGAGGATATGTACCAAATACTGTGCCACTTTATATAAGGGACTTAAGCATCCAGGCATTTTGGTACCCATGAGGGCTCTGGAACCAATTGCCCATAGATACCAAAGGAAAACTATATTTAATACACGTATATAAGCACATGTTGATTTATTCAATCCTTCCAACAATCCCATAACATGGGTACCCTTATGATTTCTATTTTGTATATGAGGGAGCTGAGTTTCAGAGATCAGTGATCAAGGTCATATAGGAAGTGCACACCAGGACATCAGGCTATAGAGCCCAGCCTCTTAAGCACTGTGCTCTACTGTGCTCTCTGCGCTGGTATATTCTGAGAGTCTCACCGCTGGAGCTATTAGAGATTAAACATGAAATGTCCCACACAGGCTCCCGGGTTGAGTGCTTGTCTCTAGCTGGTGGGGCTCTTTTGGGAGGTCTTGGAAACATTAGGAAATGGGGCTATCTGGAGAAAGTGGGCGTTTCTATGGGAGCTGTGTTCTGCCCCGGTTCCTCTCTGCCTGTCTCTCTGACTCTGGTTCATATGGCTGAGTTCACATGCTCCTGCTGCCCTACCACGGGCTGCCCTACCATGGGCTGCCCTACCACGGACTCATAAACCACAGAACTGGTCACAATGGACTGAACCTCCTGTAACTGGGAACCAAAATAAATTCTTCCTCAAACTGTTGCTGTTAGATGTTTGGTCACAAGGACATAAAAATTAACTTATGCATTTGCCCAAAGTGCTGTGTCCTGAGGGATGAGCACTGGAGCCCTGGCTAGCCAGTGTTCCTGAAACAGATATACAGTTGTCTCTCATTTGAGTAAGGAATGTGATCTCACAGCCAGTAATCGTTCAAGTCTGCCTGAGAAGAACCACCTAACCTTTGTGGTCTATCCCAGCAGCCCCTGCATTCCCTCTGGGTCCTGTGCTAAGAACAGACCCAAGCAGCCGTGCAAGTCAAACCAAGTTCATGAACTCGAGGTAGAAAGCAAATCCAGCTACTGACAGAAAAGATTGGAATTAACATCTGAAATCCTTTCCACAGCCCCGAAACCAACAATCTGGATTACTGCGGAAAATAAGGTTTAATGCTCTTCCGAGCCCTTACAGGCTTTGTAAGGGTGCCTCTGCGGTCTTCCTCACCCTCCTTCTATCAACATCCTTATCTGCTCACCCAGAAGACAGCGTGACTTTGAAGGCATGTCTGGATCTGTTCATGGGCACCGAGATAAACAGTCCGTCTCCCTGCCCAGAGTGGCTGCCTGACACTGTCAGAAACTCTCAAATATAACTCTAATTACCAAAATAAATGATTAGGGCACTTTCTCTCTCCTGCTCTGAGCGCTCCATTAAGCAAATGAAATAGAAGCATTCAGAGACACTCCCTTCCTTCCCCTCTTCTGATTAACTGCATAATAAAAATGATATTAAGTAAGCATAAATTTCAAAGAGGTCCATCTAAGTGACAAACCATCATAAAGATCACAGTAAACAAGAGTCATGTTTTTAGGTGACCTCCGTGTCCTGTCTGACCCCGCCTCCATAAACACATACATTCCTGTTGGGGCCCCTCTGACCTTCTCAGTCACCTTGACTCCATCTTATTCCAAAGCCTCAGTCTTCACGCTGTCAGTGGCTCACATCTCAGGAAGAACCAAATTACTTGCAGACACTGATCTGTGACTGGTACACAGGTCAGGCCCCGGGATAGAGGAGCATAGGGCCTCGGGACTGCAGCATCAAGATTAAGCTATGGAAGAAACCAGTCGACAGAGAAAGACTAGAAACCCTTCTCCACCTAGGCTTCATACAACAGACCCTGCAAATATAGGAGTAGCAGGTACTGTGCACATGTCCTGTAAGAGCTCATGTGGCACCTGGTCCATCACTTTTGAGTGCTTTTTCCCCAGTTCATTAGCTCACTCCCATTTTTAGGAGTGTTTTCCCTGTCTTAATAAACTCTCTTCATTTTAATTTCTAACCATGTTCCCTGATTTAATTCATAGCCCTTGAGACACAAGAACCTGGATATTTCCACAGGGGTCCCCAGACCCAGATCACTACCTGTAACACTGGTGGCCACTCAGCAGCCTTGGGTAAGGCTCTACCTGATGGGTTTTATCTTGACATCATTCTGTGTTCTGAGGTTTGCCATGTCTTGATCTTTTATGTGTCCATTTCTCTTGTAACTACCAAGCCCTCAGCCATTGCCTGGCATTCTAACCTCTGCCCAGTTCTAGTCTCTGGATCCCGTTTTTGTTTCCTGCTTGCCCTGTTCTCTCTTAGTCACTTATATCTGCCTGGGACCTCAGGTCCACACTTCTAACTGTGTCCATCCTGCTATTCATGAGGTAACCAGGGTGCAAGGCAGAATGTGGAGGCAGGTCCAGGATCCCTAAAGCAAAGGGTTCTCCAATGATTGCCCTTTTCTAGACTCATAACCCTCAGGCCTATTGGAGAGAATTCACATTATACTTCTCTATACTTCATCCTTAATTGGGGAAAAAAATGTACACACAGACAGTGAAACACTTAGACTTACAAATATCATTTGCACTTAAACATGCACATATATTTGTGTATTCACACATGGACTTATATCTATATAAATTCACATAGGCAAACATAATCACAAAGACTGATATTAAACACACACTTGGGCGTATGCATAGGCACATGTACTGGTATCTGCATATACACTGGGAGTTAAGACCAAATTAAGGTTTGCCTCATGTCTTATTACCATTTTTAATTTTGGTGTCTGGCACATTACCTGGCATAAAATAGGTATTTCCACTAACTTGCTTTTAGTAAATGACTAAATGAGAAATAGATCTGACCTCTCATGAATGTTACATTAATGACAAAAGAAACTAAGCCTGGACTCCAGTCTGAATCAGGGGTCCTGGATATTGAAACTCTGCCCCATATGTAGAGAGGAAAAACTCCAGGTGCTGCAAAAAATAAGCATCTTTTCTGAACTTTGCCCTACCCTTGGTGAAGTTCCAGTATGGGGGCGGGGGGGGTGCTCAGGTGTCCCTCCACACTTGGTTTCTATCCCAGATGCCCTTTCCTAAACAGAGTCCCTGATTTCTTACCATGCTCTGTGCTCCCAATTTGTATCTGCAAGTTCCCATATTAAAAGAAATTTTGTTTTGATATTGCTCATAGCATTTCCTGTTTTTCTTTATTTCTCAAACTGTGACAGATTTCTTTTAGGAGTCCTGTCTCTCCTCCCAGGCTGCCCTCCACCCCCTACAGTACGCTAACTGCATGGAGCTAGGAGGTAGCTTCCTTCCCACCAAGATGGGCTGTCTCCCAGACTTACTAGTCACCAAACCGTGAGTCACCAGAAAGAGAGAAGGAGCCCTGCTGCTTCTCAGCATCTCCTGGTGCTGGAACACATGCCTCAAATTGTCCCTGCCCCCGCCTCTGGCAAGGAGCCAGTGGTCAACTAACATCTGCTGGGTGGCAGCTTTACTGGAGCAGCTTTGCATCCAGTCTCTCATTCAACCCTCACAGCATCCCAGTGTGATACGAATTTCTATCACCCTTTTATAGCTGACAAAACAAGGCTTCAGAAGCCCAAGTCCACCTAGCTAGTAGGAGAAGGCATTAGAACGCACATCTCTCTCTGGCTTTTGCATCCTGCCAGGCCGGCCCATGATTTATCCTATAGTGTGCTGTATTAAAATCTGCCTGAGCTCATGAGCAAATGATAGAGATGGTAATTCCAGCTCCACATGAACTGGAGGCCATTTTCTCATAGATGAGGTCAGGGTCTTTTATTCCTGACTGAGTTCATAACTTCTTTTAAGCAGGGCTGCCTTAGGTGGTTGTACAGTTTGCTGACTGAACAAATGGTTCTGGGTGAACTCCAAGGTGGGCTGAACTCCAGCCCAGGTTCCTTGACCAAATTCTGCATTGGCCCCATGGGAGTGACTCATTCTTTCTATTGCACAAAAGTTTCTGTAGAGGCTGGGATAGCCTGGGTTTTTAAGAAACAGAATATTTAAATGCCTTGGAAAGCTTGCAGGGAAGCATCTTACTGTAGTCAAAGTTGCTGGCCAGGAACTAAGAGGTTCCTTTTGACTCCTGATCCTATACAAGCATGCCTACCTAGGTACACCTATTCTGGCACACTCATCCAGCTG